ATATATATAAATAATCTTTGCTTCCTACAGAAAAAGGCTATCGACCCAATCGGTCTTTCTGCTTTTTGTTTTATTTAAGAGAATTTCTACGTTCGTTCATTCCTACGTTCGCAAGTAACTAGGTAGTCGGATAATTTTGCAAACTTATGACAATAAAAAATACGCCTATTGGAGCAAAAGATAAAATGTAATGTTTTATTTTTTAAGTAATAAAACAATATTTAGTAACTAATTTACATGGAAGGAAGACCAAAGAAATGATCTTTTGTATACCTATATGTTTTATCTACCTAAAGTCAATTAGGACAGCAATTTTTTATGTTTTTAAATAAAAACATTTAGTGGTGCATTTTGGTTGTCCTTAGTGGATGTTGTTATCAATGTTTCGGCTACAGGACGCTTGAGAGGACTTCAAGTTAGATGCTTTTCATTAATCTTAAGGCGTATGCAAAATCGTATTATTTACTTGGTACTTTTGGCGTTTAGGTGAATAAATTGGGATTTTAATGTGGGTTCCCAGGCATAAGCCGAGGAATTTCTTTGATTTGGTAAATTTTCCACTCAAATTTCATTGGCCAGATGTTTTGTGAAACATTTCTCACACGCAACGAAAATTCCCAAAGATTATCTGAAGCACATAAGCTAAAATAAGATAATTTTACTAAATCGAAAAGCTAACTTGAGGTTTAAAAATGCAAGTGCAGGCCGTCGACTTCCCTCTTTTCTAATGCTAGAAAACCCACGGATTAAGACGATCATAAACGTTTTTCATGAATATGACTTGTAAATGAAGTTTTGATTATATTTTGCGAAATATTTTTACAAAAGAGAAATTCCTGTCAGATTACGAAACATTAAAAATAGACATGTTTAAATAATTGAACTTTTCTGCAAAATATGTCCCATTTCCTAGTTTTTTAGAGCTAAACAAGTCTTTAGAAAAGTAAAAGAATTAATCGAAATTCGTGGCTTAGAACATCTTTGTTCGAATGAAGAAAAAACCCGAGCATTTTAAAATCTAACAAATGGATAGTTGAAAAATCAACTTAAAACAAGTTACAATTGAGCAGTTTGAGCACGAAGAAATACTCCATTTAAATAAAAATGTTTAAGCTTCACATTTTCTTTGATCTCTTTGTATCATTTTAAGTCCTTTGGGATAGTAAATGGACATCCAAACTGTAATTTTCCCCGATTGAATTTCAATACAAATGAAGCACACTGTTATTAAATCTCAGTTCCTCAAGCTAATAATTACAGCTGCAATTGCTTCGTGTCCCCCTACCGAAGGACAGTAATTAGTGTGGTTTTGATGGCCGATACAACTAATATGTTTCAATTATATGTTCTATTATTAATTAGATATAAACTTTTCAAAATTGCACATGTTTACAATTTCGTAACTGCAAACCAATTCGAATAATGTAAAACGAAGTTTAAATGAAGTTTAATTACTTATTAATATCCAGGTAATTAAGTTTCCTCATTTTGATTGTCTATTTGTCCATTTGCAAATCAGGTACGGTAAAACTGCAACCGCCCCTAATTGAAGCTTTGCTAGAAGCTTAAATTGGTATGTAAAGTGGGTAATTAGAAGCAATATATTATCTATTAACTGTAGATTTATCCTGATGTTTCAAACCGCCGTTTAGAACGCCTGTGTTCCACCTAGCAACTGTTTTGTATGCATTTCTGTAAAAGACGTATATTTAACAGGAATCATACTGGAATTTTACCTAAGAAGTGAAGGTACTAGTACTACCAAGGTAGGGGCGAATGTAGTTTTTACAATGGCTTTTGACCAAAACTTTCCATTTAATTTAGGCTTATTGGAAGTGCGCAACATAGCTTTCACAGGTGGAGTATATTTTTCATCGCCAAAAAATGGGTTTAAAAGTTATTCGAAAAAGCTGCGAAATACCGCAAGATCCAGTCCTACACGCATTTTGCAAAGCGTTTTCAAAGTAACTTTTCCCGCAACACTAGCAGCTGAAGAGACAGCTGCATCAAATGTCTGGCACGAGTCTGTTGCATATGGATTATCACATGAAAGCCCCACTTTATCCTTTTCTTTCACACATATTTTCGTTGTTTTTTCGGCGCTCGGGCTCCGCGATTTGATTATTGATCACCAGGAGAAATTACATTGTATACGAAAAGTGTAAAACACACATGCTGGCATGGTTTATTTTTGGAGGGTGTTAGACGCGTGCCAATAAGCCAGCTGGTTCACCTGAAACTCATTCTGTAGTCCTGATAAAAAGCGTCGATTTTCACCGAAGTGAAACTTGGAAAAAGCCCCTGAAACAGTCTAGGACAAACAAAATAATTTTTCTATTTGGGTTACCAATTAGTTGAAAATTTTGCCTCTATTCATCGTCAATTTTTGTTAGGTTCATTTCATCGCAGAAAAAGTTCTTGTTGATTTTTCCAACTTCCACCAGCAAATATAAAAAAGTTTGTTCATAGTTCTTGTTCTAAAAGCGGCGTTTTCCGATAGTCCCTTTAAACAAATATTACTTTAATGAATTTAAATTCAAACAAATTGCTTGTAGATAGGTATATTTCCTATTGAATGATTCTTTATAGCTGCCATATAAATGGCTAGTATAACTTACAGTTAGGTTTCAGTTAAAAAGCAAGTAAGTGAACAATTTCTGGCTTTTAAAAAATCAGTTTACTTTGGGTCTTTGGCTGATACTTACCGTCTTTGGCCTACTTTTCTATTTAATTTAATTGGGCTTTGATTGAATAGTCTATCAATAATAAAAATACAAATAACTATGACAAAATTAAGTTATTACTCTAATGACTTGATTCTACTTAATGACATGAGAATTTCGAAAAAACCGCACCGCCCTATTAATGTCCTAAAATGTGCAGTATTTTCGAATTTTTGTCCCATTTAAATTTTCTTCGCCCTCAAAGTTAGACCGTTGTAGAATCTTGATTACCGACGATTTCAAATAATATGGATACACTTGGACCAGCATTAACTAAAGTGAGACTTAGACTTCCCAGTCTGGATATTCCAGATTCAAAGGGCACCGACTACCCGAAGAATTTATATTCCGCAATCGACAGGATTTCTTTTCTTTGTGGTCAAGCTAAACTCAGCAAAAATAGATCTTGGGTGAGTAGAACAGTGCCTAATAATTACTAGAAATGTGAAAATTGCTTAATAAAAATCACGTGTTTCAAACATTAGAAACCTTTCCTTTAAGAAAATTCACACAAAAGTCTCGCGATCCATCTGAACGCTAAACACCGGGGCGTCGGACGTCGCTAGTGCGAAAATTTCGACGCTTACCATCAGGACAGCAGCTTTAAGTACGCTGCTGTGCTTAAAACTGAGTTGTTTTTGAAAATTTTGTCAAGAAAACTGTTTCCACGTGTGACTTTGCATTGCTTTTGTAACACTGGGAGTTAATTGCTTAAAGGAAACGATCTTAAGCTCGAGAGAACGGCTGAAGCAGCAGCTTTTCTTACTTAATAAAAAAACGCACATTTTTTTAAAGTTTAGTGCCCTTTGTACATATTTGCATTAAGATTTAGTATGTTTGCATGATTTAAAATTTTCAATTTAACAACAAAGTGTCTAATTAGTCGCTCTGCTGTTTATTCATTACACGAAATTAGGTTGAAGAGCTGCGGCGGTGCCGGCGTCGGCGTCGCGACGGAGAAAACCGCCGCGCTTCCGAATTGCGGACGCCTTTAACCAGGCTTGCAGCACACATTAGAGATATTTTTTTCTGTAATTACAAATCGGTTTTCAGCACGAGCCAACCCTAAAAATAGACATATTTCCCCACGCAATGGCACGTGCCCGTGTGTACTTGATTCAAAACCGATATGGGGCCCCCATTATTTTAACCGTAACACATCGTATGGCTTCAGAACGGATAACAAGTCTGTTTCAGTTACTCATCACTTTTCATTTACCGAAAAAAATATCTGGCTTGAAGTGGATTTCTTTGCAAAACTGCGCTTTTTAACTAGAACCAAACGGGCAAGAGTTGCGTGGTTTTTGATCCATTGACTGAATTTTGTCCAAGATTCTTTACCGAAGCAATTTTTATTTTGCCCATATGAAGGCGAAATTTCATCCCTGAAATAATAACCGGAAAACTGCACCAGAAGACGTCCTGCATCGGCAATTTAAGAGTGGAAACATTGACTTTCTATTTGATTTTTTGCTAGTTTTTCTATACCGAGTGTTTTTACAAAAAATCCATATAGACAGGCTTGTATGGCTTTACTTATCGAGCTACAAAGTGTAAATGTAGTAATTTGTGAAGTAATGTCGATATTTAAGYGAAATTTTGGGCGTTTGGTAGGTGGAGAAAGGGTCATAACTTTTTCGTGTATGCTTGTATCATATTTTTTAGCARRAAATAAATTCCCATCACAGTTGACTCCAGCATAACTATTRTTAATTACTTATACTATAGTTAAATAATAAATTTAAAAAATAAATGGGGCCTTGCCCTGCGGTCCCTGCGGTCCCTGCGGATTCATTCACTAGCATTMATTTTCATAGACACAACGTTCACTTCACACATAATTTGAGACCTGRRAAAGCCCTCGATAGAAATCGAAACGTCGGCAAWTAATWGAACGTGYTGTTCCACACTTGTTATTTTTCCAACTTATCTKTACCATTGARACGCAAAACTAAACGAAATAAAATTTAAGTTTTTTATGTTACGAAACCCTCGAATACCAAGTTTCGCCSAAATTTCGRTATTTGATCAAGAATTATTTCGGGCAAAAATTTAATTCCTTTWTTAACACCCTCTAGTCCAAATAAGTAAGACCCATGCATYTATGGACTYTTRTATTAAGTACCGGAGGAATCGCTCTGTTAAATATCGRACATTATTAACAAACACCCGGTATATGCAGGCATGTGTCAKRCAGGCAACTCATRAAATGCATTTTGTTATMKAAATTAATTGACATGGARTTCGCCATACGAAAGCATCCAATGCGTTTTTTGRAKTTCAGAAAATTTGGATTAAAAAAAAATATATCTCRAAATTTGGTAGCAAAAMTATTATCAKATAATAGAAYYAGTAAGTGTAAGCTTTTRAGCGARCCAACYCTGAAGAYGCCAGTCGCTACTTAGATCTAAATCAAGACGGTCTAAAATCCTGGAAAAYTGATTTTCGTTTCGAAATTTGTTTTTCCTGTTCATGTGCAAGTCAACTTTGAACTYGCAATCTCTTCAAGTTGAATTGTACTATAAATTGAATATGAAATGTTGGTACTCTTCGACCCTGTTAAAGCTTGCAACTTTAACAGTGATGTCGAATTTTTTAAGTTTTTTCCCAAGTCGCAAAGCTTCGAGTTTTCACCTAAAAACAGGAAATTTTGAGCTGATGAAATGCCGACTTTACACTGAATATTATTTTTAAAACGTGGACACTTTAAGCTTCCAACGACTTYAYATAGAGGGTYGCTTTAAGTATGTTAATATTAATTTATTTCCGTGCAGTTTTCAGTTTCAGAAYAGTTATGGTTGGKAWWRSGAAATRTTGCCATTTATAWTTAATAARCTACCAAATACAGGGTGATTTAAAAYAGGCGAAATTGCATTTAAGGGGATTTTTGAAAAATTGAGAGRGAGAGAAATTTTACACTACCTACTTTTCCCCGATTTATTGGCCACTAAATTGGGCCAATTACCGAAGGTCGCCAGATGTGAACGCAAAGCGCGAAATCGGGATGCGACCGATAAATTGTACGATTTATTGCGGATTGCAAGAATTGTGTAACAATTTCCGAAGTAAAGTAACAAGCAATTAGAGGAAAGGCTATTTTTTAGTGTGTTTCAGACGTTGAAAATCACTTTTGCATGCAATAAGTTTAGCAAATTAATAAAGAAAATTACTAAAACTGGTTTTACTGAAATTGCACCAAAATCGGAGAAAAGTGCGTTGTGTAATACCGGCAATGGGAATGTTTAATTTAGTATTTTGCAAATCCTCCGTTTCCACCAAAAAAACTCCGTTTCTTTGTTGAAAATCTGTGAATCAGTTCTGTCGACCCAATCTATTAATCGACATTAAATTTAAACAAAAGTTATGTAATCATAAATTTGTTAAAGGAAACTGGTGGAGATTAAAAAGAAAAGTTCGTGGAACTTTCATAATTGATATGGAAGTTATGCACAATAAAACAAAACACTGTAGACTTTTGCAGATTATAGAACAAGAAATCGAAGAAAATTCATCTATAATTAATTTGACAAATTTTAATAAAATTCACTTAATAGATAAGCCGTAATGTTTTTAACAATATTTTAGTGCGGAATCACCCTGTATATACCATTGATATGGCTGTCCGATTTTGAGTTAAATTTGACCTGAATTTCGCCAAAAACCCATCAGCATCATTGAATAGCATTAAATCCTTGTACCTTCAGTAATTTTCAGCATTCAAAACAACTTTACTTAACCAGTGTTTCTGTGATTCCTGCTAAATTTAATTTCAAAACACCGTGTATATAATCAGACGTGCCTTTGATAGCCAAATTAAATTATTTACGAGTTGAAGGGTACAAAGTCCCAATAAAAAAATTGAAAAAAAATGATCAAGCAAACTAATTTTTAAAGTTAATATTTAAAAAATCGACGGTATAATAGACTAATGCATTCAAAAGTAAAACGTAAGCCTCTGAAAAAGCCTCAGGCCGTAGGTACAGAGAAAATCGCATTTCACAGGAATGATTCTCTGATGCGATGTTATTGACCCCGCTAGAATAGGGAATATTCACCCCAGTTTTAGGGTGGGTGTGTTGGGATATCAAGTTAAGCACACAATTGAAACCAGCTGCACTTTCTGCGGGCCTGACTCCGGTTCGGGCAACATTTCATTGTCTACATCCAGTTTCACAAAACCCCCTCATTTGTATCGTCAACATTTTAGGTGCTTATTGATAAAGCCATCCAGAAATAAATTAATTTTTGACCTGAATAAACGCATTTAGAGCCTCAAACCGTTCTTGGGACAACTGCTAAGATTGCCCAGCATTTTTCGAAAATTTCGCGATTTTTGCTATGAAAAAAATACATTTTTATGAACCTGCGGGCTGATTAATGTGTAAACGAGCAAGGCTTCTTAAGTTTTTCCAATAGCGCCGCCCGCAGCTTTTGGTGGAAAGTCGGACGCCGGCGTCTATTTTCCGTTGATCGGCTTTATTGATTTACATTTGGGGAGCGCAAGATTTTCCTCGCCTTGTTTCCATTCCTGTATTCCTGCTAACGATTGGCGGTTTTCGCGGCGTGAAACTGACCGACGGCGACGTCCGGAAAAGCCGCGCGTCGTTCAAGTAAGATGGACGTCGCGACGCCGCCCCCAGCTTGTGTGGACGGGGGTTAACTGCCAACGCTCTAAATATTGTAATTCCGCCCAAGGGACGGTCGTTTTATGTTACTTTTTTACGAGGGACTGTCGAGAAAATATGAGTTGGTTTAAATAAAAACAATAGATTACTAACTGATCAATACGAGGAAATTAATTATTGCAATATAAAAGGGGTCGAAAAAGGTGCAAACAACACTTAACGAGGCAACCCTACAGTAAAAATGAGTGTCGCAAGTCCTTATAACACTTTTGCAAAATTTCAATGGAAACGAGGATTCGTTTTTAATATGTATCCTGTGGATACAGGACACACTACAATTAATACTTTTTTACATAATTAATTAATTACATATTGTTACAATTGATTTTTTTCGCCGTTTTTTGAAAATTACGCAAAAAAGGTTTATTTGTCACGTCTCTCTAGAATAAACCGTTTTCGAGAAAATGTACCTTTAAAATTGTCTTGCACTGCGTAAGTAATAGCGCACGCTAAATAATTTTCTTTAGCTTCCATATGAAAAAAGTAATTTGATGGTCGTAACTTATTTATGGACCATCCTGTACAAATAAATTTGGTAAAATAAATCGCATATACAAATTAGAAAAATTGACGGGTATCTGCGTTTTTCCAAAAAAAAAAACAGTTTATTAAATTTTCAATTAATTTAGACATAACTTCTGGGGCTTACTGTAAAGAATAGACTAGTAATAGTAATTTTTCTATAGGTCAATGCTTTGGAACTGTTTCTCGTTATATGCTAATTAGTTCTACTCTGTAACAATATGTACTTTATTATATTAGAGACCACTTAACTAAATTTTGTTAATCAGATAGGCGTCGAGGATTTCTATCTAGTGCAAAAGTTGTGAATTCAGGAACATTTTATAATTTTTTCTTCATTACGATACTAGAAAAAAAATTATATGAATGTGGGGCCCTTAAACCTATATTTTGGAGTTGATCACACAATCACAGCTTGAAGAAACACAGTTTAGTTTTATAATTTTTTAATGGAAATTGCGCAAGCAGTTTCAGATTTTAAGTGACAAAATCGTCGAGGAAATTCCGCTCAACAAAATATGGAAAAAGTTTTTATAAACATGTGTGCGCAATATCAATACCTACTCGCCGCTTTTTTGGATTCTATAAGTACAAGTAATAATATATTCGAAAATGTTAAATTTTTATCATTCATTCATCATTTTACTAAGACACCAATCTCGGTTTTTATCTGCTCTAATCGAAACGGTTCTTCCCATTTAATTGTTTCCAAAATTGGCTCGATTAGCATTCTCTAAAGTTAGAGAAAATAATTGTATCATAGTTTTTAATAACGCCTAACATTTCGTGGGCTTAAAGTTAAACCGGTCCAAATCTAAAATAAAAATTGTTGGTAGATGCACTTTTAAACCGAGCCGAAAATTATCTGAGAATCCGTTTGGAAACTCTGTCATTAAAAACATATTTTAGTGCATCTATTTGTGTGGCCTTGGAGGACTTTGTCCGTTTTTGCCAAACCAAACATAAATACGACATTTTGCACCTGGTCAGTTTTAGATCTAAACGAACGATTTGTATTTTAAATAATTCGGAAGTATTCGTATACCCATAAAAATTTTTGCTAAAATATATCAATCTTCTTCTCAATCAGTCTTCATCAATTTCTTTAAAATATATAAATTTGTTACATTTTGTAATCCCATTTTATCTAATATTTCATGTGCAATCTGAAATTAAGTAGAAAGCAAAAAAGCGAACAATCTTTCTTTTTGAATTTTTAAATTAGATTATCGAACGAATCAAAACAGTTTTGGTCGATGGATTGTCAACTAATCAAAATTAAGGTTGCTTTCGCACATAAAATAAGTTCTTTTCTCATGAAACATTTTGTATACGCACTTTATTATATAAGTTATGGTTATTCGACAAATTTCTCAAGGGAAGTTTTAAACCAACCAATTTTGTATTTGCTTTAGCAATATATCTTATTTTACAAACTTCGGCTTCCGATTTACATGACGAAGCAAATAAATTAAAAACAATAAAATGAAGTTTTGCAATTAGATATAAGAAAAGCTCTGAGCCTATATTACCTGCAATCAATATTTTTTGGTATAAATTAAATCTAAAAAGTATCTCAGACTTGAAGTAGTAAATTCAAAAATTTGCTCTGAAACAGTGCGCTGAACACTTAAAGCTGAGGACGCAAAATTAATGTGTGTAAGGATGTTAAAATAGATGAAAATTAAGTAAACGCGAAAAGTAAAAAAAAACTGCTAATTGATAAGTGCACGATTTGGTAGTTAAAAATTCATACTCAACTAATAACTTTCTTGTAGAATTACAAGTTTGGTCATGAATAATTCTTATAACTCGATCATAAAAAAGATGTGCTTTCAAAATGTTACTGGATTCAAGTTTCTGACCCAAAAAATGTCTGATGCGAAATTATGCTCGTCGGAGAGTCTAAAGCGTCTAAAACAAATTTTTATTTCTGTTTTTAACCCGACTTTTGTCGCCTAGTACATCCAAAACCTTCCTCTTCCAATAACACAAATTAAGTTGATTAAATATATAAAATGCCTTTCAGACAGTAAATTAAATTTCTCAGAATACATACAGTGTAAAAAAGCAAATTAAATTAGACCTAGATATTAGCAGAATAATGGCACCAAACAAAATAAATTAGGTATTAACTTTCGATGCGTTGTATTTCCAAAAATATGAACTGTTGGTCCGCCTGTTGGTCAGATGCTTTATTTTTTACTGCCGATGTCGATATGGTCCGAAATCAGGTTTCTGGCACTTTACAATTTTTGGCGATTGTCATTATTGGATGCTAAAGATGCTCAAAGTTTGATAACCAAATCTCCAAATGAATGTTATTACAGAACGGCGCTCTCTCTTTAAAAAATTTGCATCTTGTAAACTAGCTCAGATATGATGTTGAAAGTTTTAACGACTGTAAAAGCTACTTCGCTCTAAAGATGTTGAAAGTCACTGTTAAAATGTTTTTAAATTAACGCAGCTGGCAAGTTGAAATTTTCCCTACCTTTAGGAAGCGCTTGATTCTACAGATGCTTAAAACTTCATAAAAATGGCCCGGAATCCTGATCAATAACAGCTTGGTAAACACTGGTCTCTAAATGAAGGATTTTATTCGACTGCGCTCTCTTCTGAAAAAATTTAATCTTCCAAACTAAAGCAAGTAGCATTATAAAAATTTCAAAATTATTTAGAAGAGCTCGACTCTGTCTAACTATGCATACATTTTTATAAAATCTTCCGATTACAATATATGTTGTTGCTTAACGGCGTTTCCTCGTTTAGATGTTCGTATCTCCGAAACTGGAGTAAATAGCGATTTGAAATTTTTACCATCTTTAGAAGACACTTGAGGTTAAAGGTGGCGGAAGTTTAATTGAAATCAGCAAGAATCCTGATTGTTGCCAGTTTAATAAACATCGTTCTCAAAATGGATGTTTTCATTCAACTGCGCTTTCGCTTTAATAATTCACATCTACGAAACCAAGGAAGACATCAATTGGAATTTTTCACCATCTTTAGAAGATTTTTATTTCATCTTAAAGTTTCCGAAAGTTTTATAGACCTCGCCTAGAATTCTGACCGTTGCTAGCTGGTTTAGTAAACGTCGGCCTCAAAATTGGTTCGAAAATTATTCAACTGCGCTCTCGCGTTAAAAAATTCGCATTATCGAAATTATGGAACAAGGAATATGGAATTCACTTAATCTTTAGAAGAAATATTTCAATCTAAAGATTCCGAAAGTTTCATAAACATCGCGAGGAATTCTGGTCGTTTGCAGCTTAGTAAAGCTCGCTCTCAAAAAGGATGTTTTTATTGAACTGTGCTCGCAGCTCTAAAAAATTGCAGACGAAAAGCACTTTAGAATTTTCGCAATCTTTAGAAGCTACTTTATTCTAAAGAGGCCGAAAGTTTCTTAAACACCGCCCGGAATTCTGCTCGGTGTCCGCTTAATAAATACCGCTCTCAAAGTGCCTTATTTTTATTCAACTGGGTTTTCCAGTTTAAAAATTTCTGCCTTCCAAACTGAAGTAAATTTCAAATTTCGATTTTAATCTCCCTTAGCAGACATTTGACTACAGATGCAAAAATGTATAAGAAATGCCGAAAATCCTCAGTTTTTTCCAATTTTTCAAACGATTTTAGTATCTTTCCTGTCCCGGTCCTGACCTGTATCGACTAAATCCGGTTGGCGCTTTCATCGCATCCTTCAAATGCAGATTACTATGTTACCTACTCAAGCCAGTGCGACTGAGTTTTCCATGAAATAATTAGTTTCTAGGCTTATTATCCGGATAAATCCAAACCCGATGCCTAAACGAGGGTTTAAATACATGGTTGTTACAGTATCTTGGGATTTATCTGATGGCATAGCAAGTAAAATAGCAGAAAAGTATTGCGGATTTTAAACATCCCGCCCGAAAAATTGACAGCGGATCTGAGGAGAGGGAGAACCCAAGCCGGCATTATTTCGTTTCACGTTGCCGGTCGGCCATTTGACAGTGACGCTGAAAGCTTGGTAGCATCGTAAGTGTTTCTTCTAGTGTTTTAAGTCAGAAAAAGTGGTGAAAATCATTATGGATAATACACAAAACGGCGCTGGGGCTATCAAGCCAGGCCAAGATGAAGACAAGAAACTTTTTGTCGGTGGTCTGACCCTAGAAACGACCGAGAAAGAGCTGCAAGAGTATTTCGGCCAATTCGGCGTCATACAAAACGTGACCATTAAAGTTAACCCACAGACGGGTAAGTCCAAAGGGTTCGCTTTCGTGTTATTCAATTCCGCGGAAATTGTTGATCAAGTCTTGAGCCAAAAAGAACACGTGATTAACGGTAAAACGGTAGATGCTAAGAAAGCCAAAGCTAAACCCGGGAAAATTTTTGTTGGCGGCATCACGCCCGATCTCACTGATGACGACATCAAGACCTATTTCTCCCAATTCGGAAGTATCACGCAAGTGGAAATGCCCTTTGACAAGACGAAAAATCAGCGAAAAGGGTTCTGCTTTATTACCTTTGAAAATGACGCCATTGTAAGAGAGTTGCTCAAGAAACCTAAACAGACCATTAAAGACAAGCAAGTCGACGTTAAAAAGGCGGCCACTCAACCCAACAACATGATGGGTCGTGGAGGTTGGGGAGGACGTGGAGGTGGTCGTGGAGGAAGAGGCGGCCAAGGAGGATGGGGAGGTGGTTGGGGCGGCCAGGGTGGCTGGAATGATTACGGATATGGCGGTGGATACGATAATGGATACAACGGAGGTGGTGGTGGCGGTTACGATTACTATGGAGGCGGCTACGGCGGTGGTTATGGTATGGACTCTAGCTACGGACCGAGTGGAGGAGGCTATGGAGGTGGCCGTGGTGGTGGCGGTCGTGGAGGACGCGGAGGTGGCGGCGGCCGAGGGGGCCAAAGGCACCAGCCCTATTAATCCATCGTAATAATAGGTTTTAGGAGAAAATGTGTGAGAATGTTTTGTGCATCATTGCACATGTTGTGCTCGTAAGGACTAAGGATATCTCTTCCACAACTGAAAAATTCTGATATTTCTAAAACCAGAATGCTAAATATAGTTCGTTTTATATTGTTTTGTAACAATCCGTAAAAGTAATTAAGAATATTTTTGTAAATTTTCAAGTGCATTTTATTGTTCCGAATTCTGTCACTGTTTATGTTTCTTCACATAGAATGATGCAAGTTGTTCAAAAATTACAATACTTTTTATTTTCATTATAATGTAATTAATAAATAATCTCTCTAAAAAACTCTCATCTCTCTTTTCATTTTTACATTAAACTTACATAATTTATTATATTATGTATGGTAAAAGCTACCTCTAACATATAGTGAGAAATGAAGATCTTTTATTATATAAAAGAAAAACCTAAAAAAATGGAAAAATGCATAAAAAACTAAAAGGAAACGTGTAGGTATTGTAGAAGGTGATTTTCTACGACTGGACAAATTAGGTATTAGTAGCCATTATTTTGCTACCATGAGTAAATAATTTTTTAAATAAATTATAGTATAAACAACCTGTCATGGTGTTTTATTATGAGACTGGTTCATACAGGTAAGTTTTTGCCGCCAAAATCTACACAATTTGTCATTTATTTGTAAGGCATTGAATGCTATCCGACACCAAAATTCTATCACGTTCTCAAAAATGGTTTTTTACTTTAGGAAAAATTGGTTTCATTCAAACGTTCGTCGACCACCACGTGTTTCTCACGCAGACGACAAAATGGCGGCATTGGCGTCATTACGAAAGGTTGTTCACACATGCTAATATTTTTGGCCGGGTTTCTGATTGATTTCAGGTAAAGGTTACGCACTGAAGGACATTTATTGGTTAATCAAATATTGAATTTCAGCCAATTATTGAAAAATTATCAAATTCCAGATCTGTAAAGGGCATTTTCTATTGTTTCGAGTCGATAATTTTTGTCCGTCGAAAACAAATCAAGTCACATTTCTAATTACTGCCAAAATGTAACATCATTAAAATAGTGATGAGTGTTTGGAGGTGTTCAATGTCAAAATGCGTTTACTCTAATTGATCTAATTGAAATTTTCTATTCCAGCTGTTTGTTTGAAGGTGATTCATACATTTCAAGTACACTGGGGGACGAACAAGCGCATACCCGATGGCGCGGTTTGTTATTTTGTATTTTTCCACTATTTCAAATAGGTACTTCTTCTTGATGCCTCATTCGTTGCCAGTATTTTATGATTTTAGAAGTGATGTGAAGAATAAAATGCTGTTACATCTTATTTTCACTGTTAATATGCAAATGCATTTTTTGTGGTACAGGGTGTTTCCTCATAAGTTAATACCGCCTAGATCGTTTATTTTTGTTGTGTTGTAAAATTGTACCGTCTTTTTTTAATGAAACAACCTCGATGGGATTTTATTTCATGATTTTAGTATTAGCCGTTTTTCCTGTATGATGTTTTAAATGTTTATATAACCGAAAATATTTTCCGAAAAAAATGTTCGAGTCTTTAAGGAACAAAGTTTGTAAGAAGGGTTTTTTGTTATTTAAATTTCAAGAATTTCCTCTCTGTATTGCTACTTGATAATCGCATATCCAATAGAACTGTTCATTAAAATTGTAATCAATTTTTGTGCTGTGGCTAGAATGTATGTCAGGGTGYTTCCTSATAAGTTGTCACCCCCYTAGATCGATTACATATTTAAAAAAAATTGTGAATGTGAYCAACACAAAAGTAGGTTAATTTTACATAATTTTTTTAAATCTCTAGTMTTWAAATAAAAATAGTTTTTTTTTCTCTTTTTTAAATGAAACAYCCTATATATTTTTGGACAGGTCGATTGGATTTTGTTTCCTKATTTCRAAAATACAYAGATATACAGGGTGYTCYGTAAATATGTTAAAATATTTTAACAGCGTGTTCTCCTAGTCATTTTAGAGGGGGTCTCCTTGAGAATTTTTTTAATTTCAGGTCTCATTTTTGAAATATTTGATCTCCAAAATTGCGAAAAATATTATTTTTTGTTGTTTTTCTTTAAAACCGTTAAACATAGAATCTTCAATTTTGGTATACATTATAAGCTAATTGAGTGCAATTCTATGGTAGTGTTTTGTAGTTCAGTTTACTTTTATACAGGGTAGAAATGTGGAACCCTTACTTTTATTTTGTTCAGAACTTTTTTCTGTGCACCTAAACTTTTATCAACATATTTTTTTAATTACTACAAATTCTTTATCCCTTATTGTTTTGTCCTAAGACCAATAGTTTGCCCGCAAAAAAATGAAATCGTTTCGGCTTGATCAAAACTTTCCAATCCGTCGGATTGGGAGACGTCAAGAAGCTCCTATAAACTCGCCTCCTAGATCTCCCGATCTAAACGCGCTTGATTTAATAGTCTGAAATGACACAAAAACTGTAGAAAAACAACATAACGGAATTTATTGCTACTATAAAAGTCACATCAATAAATCACAAAATCATCACTGATTTTGTATGATTCGTTTAACGGTAGACATGCTCTATAATGTACTTGAATTTTATCGATAACGTTTTGAATACCTATATTGGTTATCATAAATATTAATATCGTTAATTGCATCCACTATTTTGAGTCGTCTAACTAGACTCTCATACACAATATTCTTTAAATAACCCCAGAGAAAAGAATGAAGAGACGTTAGGTCGGGGCTATTTGGGGGCCATTGGATAGCACTCGCTCGTCATATCCAGATATCCGTATTTTCTTAAAAAAAAGATCGTCATGGGGTGAAGCCTTGTACCATTCGAAGGCGACTTTGATTTGTTGCTATTCATAATTTTTAAAACCTAATATAGAAATATATCCCAAAATATACAAGGTGTTCCGTAAATATGTTAAAATATTTTAACAGCGTGTTCTCCTAGTCATTTTAGAAGGGGTTTTTCCTGATAATTTTTTTAATTTGAGGTTTTGTTGAGATATTTGATCTCCAAAATGACGAAAAATATTAGTTTTTGTTGTTTTTCTTTAAAGCGGCTAAACAAAGAATCTTCAACTTTGGTATACATTATAAGCTAATTGTGCCATTCTATGGTAGTGTTTCGTGGTTCAGTTTGATTTTATACAGGGTAGAAATGTGGAACCTCTACTTTTGTTTTGTTCAGAGCTTTTTTGTGTGCACTTGAACTTTTCTCGACATAATTTTGTTAATTACTACTAGTTTTTGCCAACTTTTCTATCTCTTGTTGTTTTTTCCTAAGACCACTAGTTTGTCCGCAAAAAATAAAATCGTTACTTTGCCGTTCGCAAAATGTGTAAGTAATAAAGTTATTTTTTTTAAATCTAATAACTTTTTCATATTTTGGTACGCATTATTAGTTGATTACTAACAACCTAAATTATTTTTCTGAATTGTGTATTTTGGTTGAGATTACAATTATTAAGTTTGAATAAATTGTACTTAAATAATAACATGGCAACAATATGCGCAACGATATAAATAAACAAAATTAAATTTAAATATCCATTCTAATGTTAACTTAGTAGCTGTTAAAATTGGTCACTTTGACATTCTTGGCATAATCGCAGTATTTTAATGAAATTGAAATTTACAAACCGTTAAGTTTGCACTGAGGTTCTCATTTCGTTAGAAATATTAAATATTCTTTCCTGAAGTTCTCCGATTGTATTCACTTCTGTTGAATATACAGTATTTTTTAAATGGCCCGAGAAGTAAAAATCAAGCGCGTTTAGATCGGGAGATCTAGGAGGCGAGTTTATAGGAGCTTCTTGACCTCCCAATCCGACGGCTTGGAAAGTTTTGATCAAGCCGAATCGATTTAATTTTTTTGCGGGCAAACTAGTGGTCTTAGGACAAAACAATAAGACATAAAAAAGTTGATAAATAACTTGTAGTAATTAAAAAAAATATGTTGATAAAAGTTTAGGTGCACAGAAAAAGGTTCTGAACAAAACAAAACTTAGGGTTCCACATTTCTACCCTGTATAAAAGTAAACTGAACTACAAAACGCTACCATAGAATGGCACTCAATTAGCTTATAATGTATACCAAAATTGAAGATTCTATGTTTAACCGATTTGAAGAAAAACAACAAAAACTAATATTTTTCGCAATTTTGCAGATCAAATATTTAAAAAATGAGACCTCCTCCGCCTCTAAAATAACTAGGAGACCACGCTGTTAAAATATTTTAACATATTTACGGAACACCCTGTATATCTATGTATTTTTGAAATCAGGAAACAAAATCCAATCGACCTGTCCAAAAATATATAGGGTGTTTCATTTAAAAAAAGCGACTTTTTATTTTAAGACATATTTTTATTTTAAATTCAGATTTAAAAAAATTATGTAAAATTGACCTACTTTTGTGTTGGTCTCTTTCACAATTTTTTTGAAATATGTAATCGATCTAGGGGGTGACAACTTATGAGGAAACACCCTGACAAACATTCTAGCCACAGCACAATAATTGATTAAAATATTAATGAACTATTCGATATGCGATTATCAAGTAGGAAAACAGAGAGGAAATTCTTGAAATTTAAACAAAAAACCCTTCTTACAAACTTTGTTCCTTAAAGACTTGGACATTTTTTTCGGAAAATATTTTCGGTATCGTTTGCTCTATTCGGAATTCTAGCCGCATATAAGTGGGAATGGGGAACTTTTTTGCATTAATAAATGCAGAGTTAGCTCAGGTATGTTTGCCTTATCCTTTATTGTTTTCGGAATTTCTTAATTTGTTCAACCAACAAATATTTTTAACTAAAAAGACGGGCCCTTTTGTACAGTGTCTCAGAATTCAAGGGTAAATAGACCTTGTCGGAATACGGAAAAATCCAAATATACATTGGTCCCCAAAAGGTATACTAGGCGTCAAACCTCACTTGAAAAGAAGCTGCAAAACGGTTTTATTCATTTTAATGAAACTTTGTGGGTAGTGAAGATTGAAGACTTTCAATTATTTTATTTTTGTTAATTTTACCAGTTTCGTCCATACCAACATGTTATTGGATATTTTCAATAAAAAAATCGAACTCCCATTGATTTTTTGAAGAACAAAAAATGCGTCTTAATTGGTTTTTCAATTCTGGAAACAAAAAGACTCTTATTTCTGTCGTACCGATCAACCACCTTCCGGTAAAAACATTTTTATGATGAAAAGTCTAGCAGCGCAAAATACTTGATTTGAGCTGCTAAATAGGACTCAGTAGTGTATTATAAATAAATATTAAGTATGTATTTTATAAATGTATGAAATTCTTAAAATAAACATTGAGTATTTCTTTAGTTCTTTGTTTTACCAGTGGTTAATAATGTCAAATTTCATCATCAAAATGTGCTTTTGATCATCAAAATCTTTACGTAATGATGAACACTGTTAAAGTTATAAAAAAGCACAAACATTTCTATAATCTTAATTTGATGTAACTTTGCAGCGAAACATTTGTGAAGCAATTCTTATACAGGGTGTTCGCAAAATACGTTTCGAATTTTTTAAAGATGATCCTACAGGCTGAAATAATAGTAAGTCATGTAGCAAAAATTCTAAATCGGCAAGTTTCCCGAGTTACAGCTCATCAAACTTCGCTTTTTTCTTTTCATTTTCCTATTCGACATATTTTTCAGACCATTCGAGACCTAACATTTATTAACATTAAAACTGTACCGATTTTCAATTTAATTCGCGAAGAACTGTTCAGAATAGGTCAAAATTAAAATGAAAAAAAAAGTTTGATGAGCCCTAACTAGGAAAATATTCCGATTTCGAATTTTCAGTACATAACTTACTACTATTATTTTAGCCTGTAGAATCACCCTTAAAAAATTACTAACGCATTTTGCGAACACCCTGTATATTGAAATTTAAAAATATTATTTGATCATCTAAACTAAAATTTGCATAGGCAAACCCCTTTATTTTTAGTTTTGCCTTTAATGTCCATAGTTTATGCTCTCTTGCTAACGCGGTTACAGAATCGTGCTAATTTTGTTTTGAATCGTATCAGAGAAATCGACTCAGTCTTACTTCATCGCAGTATATATTTTGTCCCAAAACTTGTACAAAAATGTAAAAAGACAGCAAACAAAAAACCCTTATTTGATTTTATAATCATAATAATAATTTATAATGTATCGTGGGAAACTATTCAATTGCTATAAAATTGTAATTTCTTTCAGATCTTGCGATTTGCCTATTCTTTATATAGCTATACGTTGATCATAATCGCTATAATGTTTATCATTTCCGAAATTATTACGTTCAGAAAGAGTTTAACCGAGCTGACCACCGTGCTGAGTGAGATTGGAATGATGTTTACTCATTTAGTAGGGATGGTTAAGTTTTGGATTTTAATTCACAAACGAGATGAAATTGAGCAGGTGAAAAACAAGCTGCGAGATGTTCAGTTCGAGTATGTGGGTATTGGTAAGGCGAGTTTACTTAGTTGAAAAGTAAATATTTAAAGTAGAGTTTTCTAGATGATTTTCAGCCTGGCTTGAAGATGAGAAAGGAAAAACTCTTTATAATAATTATATCGACGTTTATTTTTGCACTTTACAATTTTGTGGGCATCTCAGCTCACATTAGTGCCGCCTCAATGATGTACAAATATACGGCAAATGGGAATTTTCTTGGCAATACCACTTGCGAAACTTTCGTACCGTATTATTTCTACTATCCATTTGATGTTAGCAGCCCAAGTAGTTGCCATTACTTATTGTTCTATATGGACTTGTCTTTGGATATTTACGCCAGTTATATTGCCAGTATGTAGAGTATAAACTTTGATTATTTTTGAATTTTTGAAGTGAAAAATGATTATTTTTGAAGCGTTTATAAGCGCGTTTAGCATTTTTTGTTTTGAGAGGTTTTTACGGAACATTCACCATTTTATCTACAGAGTTTAGTTGAAAGAATTAAAAATTTATTCGACATTGTGTCGGGAATAAACTCGTATACCTAAGTAAGTGTTTGTAAACGGGCATAATTTTCAAATTTATTTTTTGGTATGGGGTTTTATGAATTATATACCATTTTTTGGCTGATCCACTATTTTCAATTGAATATTTTTTCATGGAATCATTTAAACGGGCGATATCACATTCTCCATTTTTGGCGCAAGAAGCTTTTCATAAAATGCCAATTTTTGGATCACCATCTTTCTGTTCTTAGCGGTCACAGACCCAGACAGATACATACATACATGCAGTTTGTTTTTCATTTAAGCATTTGACTCGGTGTTTGTAATTTTGCTTAATCTTCTGGCCACTCAATTGAATATTCTGGGAGACGCTTTAAGAACAATCAGAAAAAGGTGCGTAAAACGACTGCAGATGAAAGTCGATTCCAGTTCTTTGTATGACGCTGATAACCCTTTACTGGAAAATGAAATGTACAATGAGCTCACCCATTGTACCAAGCATCTCTATCTACTGTTGGAGTAAGTGGCGCAAATTGGTGCTGCTTTTTATCATAATTTGTTATTTTTCAGAGTAGGCAATGATATAGAAAGTATTTTCACATTTCTTACACTGCTTCAAACTATAGCCTCCCTCTTAATATTCGCTTCATGCCTATTTGTAGCTGCAAGGGTAAGGACTTCTGATACTTGATGAACTGTAGTAATTTTTATGAACTTAGGTAAAACCAACAACACCGATTTTTTATTCACAACTAGAATACTTTTCTGCAGTTTTGTCGCAATTAACCGTCTATTGTTGGTTTGGAAACGAGATTACACTTGCAGTAAGTAGTTTTGTAATGTTTTTAGGAAGTTTACCTTCAAAAGGTAGTTTTCAGAGCTCCGCAATACCATATTCGATATACAGTAGTGACTGGTTCAGTAGCAGTGAAAGATTTAAAAAGTCCATGCTGTTAACAATGGCGCGATTGCAAAGGCCTTTGTATGTTTCTATTGGAAAGTTTACTCCGCTGGCTCTTACAACCCTTTTGAGTGTAAGTATCATGCTGCAGGACTTTTATTGAAATTGTAGAATTGCACATGCTCGGGTTTCCATTGTCTGAATAAGATTTTTCAGTATTTATCAAAAAATTATCGAACCATCTTCGTTTCAATAATTTTTCTTAAGAAGTAACTGATGGTTTTTAATTTAATTCACCTTTTTGCTTGAGGCTTGGCATTTTCGTTCCCTTCATTGTAATAATAAGTTAGAATGTTTTAATTTTTAACTAAATTCTTCCTTCTGTATAAATTGCCATTATACGATAATTTATTTCTTTTTTGCCGTCTCAAACATAATTTGATAATTTCTGTCTACGAATTAAAATGATTATTTTCCAAAAAGTATTTGGATTCCTGGACTAAAGAAATAAGCAATATACATGATTTTTCATTAAAAAAGCTAAAAATTACACTGCTTATAGGCTATATTACTTTCACACTCTTTCAAACTAATTTTAAATAAAATTGTTCCGTGTATAGTGAACTCATTTTTTCCTTTTCTATTCGGAAAATGCATCTAAAAACTATTCTTTTAACGCCAAAGTGAAGAATAATCGAAGCGGTTGATTGAAATAAAGTTTAAATGGTTTCGTGTATTTAACTGCTTTCCATAATTTCCTTTTTAGGCACTGAGTTTCAATTCATTGTTTGAACTCTAAAATAATAATCAGTAAAGGCTGAAGTCTATTCGATTGTGTTTATTAATTTTTTAAATGACTTTTAAGGAAGTTTTATTTTGAACTTCAAAGAACATATGTTGAAATTTCAACAAAATTGTTCAAGTAATTGTTTTAAATGCGCATTTAAACGGTTCACTAACAAATTCCTAAATCAACCAGGGAATTTCAAGTTATTCACTAAGTTTATTGAAAATAGACGATTTTTTCATACCTTTTAAAAATTTACTTTTCATATAATCCAGTTAGTATCACTTATTCAATTATCAGATGAAATTTTTACGATTACAATTTAAGGCAACTTTTACAATGAAATATGGTCTGTTTAGGGTGTTTTTTTTTGAGCGGTAAGAGCGCACGTTATTGTATAAATTATTTCTTACTATTTTTATATACGTACTATAAAGTATTTGAAAAATAGTGTGAAATATTCAAACTGCACATTCTACGACAAAAAAGTGGGACTTTTTCTTACTTAAACAAGGTTCCACAAATGCCTAGATAATTATCTATACACAAACATTCGATAGTCGTATTTTTTTTGGTTTTTAAGGAATATTCCAAATACATTTAAATCGAGACTCATCTGTATTAGCGTGGGCAAAGTGACTTATTCTGAAATTATATTTTGCAGCTTCAAAACACCTACTGAAAAATTCACGTTTAAAAAGCCAAAAACGTTAGTTTTGATCCCTTGGTTTTTTACAATTACACTATGTAATAATTTCTGTATTATACAGAAAATTGATTAAAATATGCACTCGTTAGAGAAATAGAGTAGGTACATGTACGTAAATTAATATACATTTTTCAGGTTATCAAAGGATCATTTTCTTATTTCACTTTATTCCAAAGCGCTGGAACCGATTAAGGCATACCATCTAGAGCCGAAACGATTACAATGAAATTGGAGTAAAAAGTCACCATTTTAGTTGTAGACAAATCTCAGATTTTGCAGAAATTACACGAGCAAGCTGAACAGTTGTTTTATTTCGAAACTTTACTTTTAAAACATCAGTTGAGAAGTTGGGAATATACGTTGGGAGCGGTTTACCAGTCTCAAGTCAATTTTTTTATCGCTTTAAACGTTTTCGTGAGTTTAACGTGAGTAGTAACCCTTTAATACTTTTGCAATTTATTTTAAAAGTACTTCTTTCATGTCTTTTAATCAATGCATCAAACTATTTATTATCTAATAGAAGTAAATTATCTACTGATCATAGTTCGTTTCTAAACAGAGGCGTATTTCAAATTAAGCTCTGGAAAGCGTCAATAAATTTTAATTACTTTCATTTTAGCCATTCTCATATTCATTAAATATATTGTTATTTTCGCGGCCCAATTCCAATAAACCCCTGTTATCTTTGTCACTGCAAAAATTCCAGCTCAGGTTTGCTCTGACGTCCAACCTATGCCTTCATAAATAATTTATCAACATCATTACTAGATAAAAGTGTGTAAATATTGGGCCATATGCTCAATATGAAAATGTTACAAGCGTTTTCTTCGCCTATCGCCCATTAATGAACAGTCGGGTATGTTTGTTTTTGGTATATGCCTATCGATACACAACAACTTCCGGGTGTATTTCTGATATACATATACGGTATTAATGTTTGTTAAGTTAATCGAGAAAATGCTTACTAAATCGCAATATGATTGAATAGGGAAATTTACTTACGGGTCCTTTGTAAAGATGCCCAGTTTCCATTGCTAGCAACTCAGCTACAAGGGGCCCACCTGCTATTCGCACCACTAATTCTTTAGCACTTAGTGATTTTTCCAATAAGAAGAGTAGCATAATTTTCAGGGTTAAGCAGATTTTCATTTTGGTTACTGCAATTTTGGCGATATCTTAACTAAAACAAAATTTATCGGTTTCAAAAAGTAGGTACATAGAATTTAATTTTCGAAAGTAAGTTGAGAAAAACGTAGCACCACTCAGAAAAAAGACTCTAAACAAGAGCACACAAGAGCAATTAAAAACCATTTAATTTCATTAGCGATTTGGAAGTACAAAATGCAACTTTTTTTTTGCATATAAAACAGCTTTTACCTGAAAAAAAATTCTTGAATTTCTAAAAAGTTGTAGATCACTAACACTATAAATCGCCGAATTGACTTACAAATTTTCGAAAGTTTTTGCCGCGCTTTTCTCCAGAAAACGAAAGTTTCACGCTTGTTTTACAAATCGCGTGATAGGGAGTGGAAAAGCAAGTGCTGAAAGCAGCTGAACGGTGGCGAAAATAACTGAAAGCTTCAATCCCTTCTCCGATTTATAGTAACGGTATTTTATTGGTTTTAGGGCCATTGTTAAACAGGTTAATGTAACATAAAAGCGGATTTATTTGCCACTAATTGATCGATTTTGGTGTATTCGGTTTGTTTAATGAGCGCTTGTAGCAACTAGATTCACGCAGTTCAAGTCTATTAAAATTGAAGATATTTAATTATGTGTTTAATAATAAAAGCAAACATTTCTGATACCAATTTTGGGGCCATATACATTACACATACAATTAATGATTGAATAAGTTTTTCTACAAAAGTTCCCGTCGTTCCAAAAGGTCATATTTCAATTTTTATAATTTTTTATCCGAAAAAAATTGGAAGCGAGTCACTTAAAGCCATTAATCATCTGAATATCTGCTGGATAAATGGCAGAAAAGATTACGCATTTTAAATCCTTAAAGCTACGAATTAACCGGAATATTAAGTTTGTCTACAAAATCAAGCTAAAATATTTTGCGTTCTATTTATTTTAATTTTAACTGAAATGTAATTTTTTTGGTTTGGAAACGTCGACCAATCACGGTAAAAAAATGAAGTGTCGACAAACTAGTAAAACTCGGTTATTTTAATTAAATGCAATTAGGAAAATTATTTTAACTGTTATTGTGTAACTGTTACTGTGTGACTACTGTGTAACTAACTGTAATTATTTTCCAAATTTAATTTACAAAGCTTCTGGGTTCCCGGCAGTTATATCACAACATTTACAAAACACACTTTTGCTCAATATGTTTCGCTATTTTCTGTCATCATCAGTCGGGACCGTAGAGAGAGGTGGAGTGAACCTTAAAGAAAACATACAAGCATAGGTAGCAAGGAAAAAAACCTAAAATGTTTCCTAACTACATGCTAGAACCTTGCACTTATTTCAAAATTTATACAGATTGACTGATGATGGTAGCAAATACCGAAACGTATTGATTTAAAGGCTATTTTGTAAATATTATAATACTTTTACTCTCTGTTTTAAAATTCGATTTAATTGCTCGTCGTTTCTGTATTATTTGTATATAGAAATAAATTCTTACACAAGAGAAGATTAAAAGCAGAAGATGATTACTTGAAAAAAATACCTCTTAATAAAAATTGTTTATTCTACAAACCAACAACAACAAAGGAAATCAAATTTCAACTATTTAAACAAATCATTCTATCCAAATTGCAATTCTAAACTTGGCCAAATAAGTAAAATTAGTCAATTACAGTAATCCCCAATACATCAATTCCCCAACAGTTTCTACCAACGCACTAGTGCCAATCACTGTTCCCAATATTTGTTTTCTTAAAGCTAGAAAACAGCAGTTAATCGCTTTAATCCAACGTCGCTTGACTGGCTTGTCGCTCAGATAATAAATTTTAATTACATCAATTCCTAAATCCCGAAAGTGTCTGCAGGGGGCATGAGTGGAATGCATATAGCAAAAAAATCGATCTCAAACTCTCATTGTTTCAGTTACGAGTTACAACCTACGCAACGGTTATATCGTTATTAAATACCACCTTATCAACGTTATTTATTATTTAGAAACGTTAAAACCAGCAACAGTATTATAAAATGGACAGCTAAGACGAGAAAATCGGTCTAACTCTTCAGTAGCAACTTACTTCGAAATACCTATCAAATTGATACCCATAAAAAAATAAGATTGTCTAAAACCAATACGTTTTCTGTCAACGTTGTATCAATTATTTTCATCTAAAACTGTGTCGGCTGAAGCGAAGCACATCTTTTTTCTCGTTTGATACTAACTAATATCTAAAGGTTCTTAGAGGTTTTTGCTATTCAAGTCTTCTACTTTGAAGCCGCTGCTAACGAGTAAACCGATAGTTTTTTATGAACACTGAAAGTACATAACACACAATAAGTGTTCAAATTGTTGGCCATTAATTTTATGACTGCGAAATAAATTTGTTTCGAATCATTGTTGTACCTTTTGGGGTATTTCGGGGGTTACAATTCATTCTCTCAAAACTTTCAAAGTTCCTTGAGGAGTGTAGTTTTCACCTTAATGCAAAATCTGATGGATTAATATCTGGAGTACTTGCAGGCCATTTCATAGGACCCTTTCTGGCAATCCGGAAAATCTTCATTTAGAAATTGCCTAACCGCTAAACCATAGTCGGTAGGGGAACCATCTTAGTGGAATATCAATAGATTTTCTGATAAATTTTCCAAAAGATCTTCTGATTGGGTATTATCGAAGTCTTCCAGCAACTAAAAATATGTTTTACCACTCTAATTTGATATGGACGGGAAACGTTTAGGTTTTGAGGATTTTTGTATCCTCCTACAGTTGTGATTCTCGACAATTTTAATTAAATATAAACTTGCTGCCTACGAAAAGCAGATATTGATAATAAAAGTGTGATTTTCCGTCGCTCTTTGGGTCATATGTTCGCAGTTTATTTTTTACGCTACGAATTGAATCAACTAAAAACTGAGCTTCTTTAAATTTTTTACTCATTTCAGCACACATTTTTTAGCCCGCATGCGTCTCTCTATAAGGTTGGTTAAAACATTCTTCATAGTTCCCACGTTTTTTGTTCATAAATAAATAATTCCATAATCCCAATTCTCTCTGCAGACGATTAAACTATTTTTACTGGCACTGACAAACCAAAGGTCTGAGAGACGAAAACAGTTGATTTAAGGGCTGCTTCAAAGTAGGATTTTTTGCTACACTATAAATAAAGTCCTTAAAAACATTTCATTTGATGAATCACTGGATTTTTCTTTCCCATTTAAAATTTTAAGGGTGGATCATCCTCTGCTCAGGTAATGAAGGTATCCATCCATACCATCCCAAGTATCTAATAGAGAAGTTTTTGCATCAACCGAAAAACTCCGTTTTGTTTTAGTTGGCGCATCCTGTATAGGTTTTCTTCGAGATATATCAAGTGCCTAAGCGTCTTCCTGCTTTCAGATTTGCTCTATAGCAATCTTATGCCGTCTTAATAATAAAATTAAGCTTTTCTTGATAATTAATTAATAACCAACACTGCGTTGTAATTTTCAGTGAAACCACTTGAGTACGTTTTTTAATAAATTGACTTACATTAAGTATTTGCAGTGTTTTTTGTATATGTTTTTCACATTTCTTCTACTTATTTACTATCTTCGACAGAAAGATTCATAAAGCAAACCCACAAGGTTTCTAGACACTAAGCAAACCCACAAGCTAAAAGAATAAGCTAATTCTTAATAATTATTCGATTTTTTGCTTCAAAGTTCGTTTAACGTATTGTATCATACTAAGTAATGCTATATTCTTTATTTGTTTCAATTATATCGGGATATTGGTTAATTTGAATTTCTTCAGTAAGTTCCCTTGTTCTCCTAATTGTCGATTTAGTCGTCTTTATTTGTTGCCATTTTAATTTTTTTTATTTGCTTGGCTCGCTAGGAAGTCGAAATTTTATAAAATTAAGAAATGACCACCGAACCAAGAATTCTATTTTAGATACAAATTTATATGCCACAACGCTTCTGGGTTTAGTAATTATTTGTTCTCTGCGCTAAATTTGACGCCACTAAATCAACCACTCATCATTTTTGTAACTCGTAATAGCATCTTTAATTACTGCAATTTTCATTTTCAGTTACACTACATATTAGTCAGAAATGTGTTTTTTTCAAGAAACTGTTTAATTTTGTGTTGTTAAAAAAGTGTGGTTTGTATTGGTTCTGCTTTCGTTTTATTTCTTAACATGAAGTCTCATTTATATTTCCTTTCTTTTTATCTTCAGTATTAAATTGCTTTTTCATTCATTTAACATATTAAACAGGTATTTGTAATTTCGATGATTAAAAATTATAATTCAATAACTTAACAACAAAAAAACGTTTTGATACTAACGTTTCTTCAGTCTCTAGTTGTGCTTTTTCATTAAGTAGCATTTGTAAAGAGTTGCAAGCTCGACCACTTGTGATTTTAAATAATGATTAATTATTATTAAATTTTGTTGTTGAAGAAGAGATGTTGACATTTAAAACTCCGTCATAATTACTTGTTCTATATTTTAGTTAAAACAGATCAAATTATCATTAATTTCCTTCAATTTAGTCGGCCTTTGAGATCTATTTTTTTAGTGTTTTCTTAGTATTCTTGTTCAATGCGAATTAATATAATCTGGTATTTTAGTAATCTCAAAGTATCTGTTGCAAGACGGAATACTACTCCAAATAGAAGCCCAAATACAACAAATAATATGAAAAAATTTGCAAATGTCCAGACAGAAAGTCTCAATCGCCTTTTCGAGCTTTCAATCACTTTTCGCTTTAGCAAAAAACTTGGAATCGCGACCTAAATCGAATTTAATGTTTATAAACAAAATTACGAGGAGCATTGTTTTTGGTTCAATTCAATTATGAATTGATTAAAGCTAACAAATACATTTATTTTGTGTGTTTCAAAAATGTCCCCTATGGCGTGTTATTAATTTCGAGTGAATAGAACATATACAAATATATTTTTTTACCATTTGAAGCACTTGAATAAAGTTCTGCTGCATTCGATGTTTTGATTTTACGATTTAAAATGAGCTTTTAGTAGACTTTGTGTCGATTAAGCGGAATAATTTTTATTTTAAACTCGTTACTTGGGAGGAGGTAAAAAAACTCGAAAGCAGCATAGTACGTATTTGTATTTCTTTTTTGAATCGTTGAAAGTCTTTTTTAATCGTTCAACTATACATTATTGACATATTTATGAGATATACACATACCTACATATCTTTACAGCAGGTTTTACTTAATGCTAAAGTTAATATAAACAGTTAATAGGTTAAAACATTTTTAATTTGCCTAATTATTTCTAAGTATAGCTAATTTGGATGGCATATATTATAACTTTAGATTTCACAAAAATATCAGACAGTAAGTAGTTTAAGTTGTACACTTCGTACGATATGTTAATCTGTTAATTTGAGATAAGTATTTTGTTTCTTTTGGAAATTTTTGAGTATTTAAGGCAAGTGTTTGGTCCAAGTTTCCAGATATGCTTTCAGTTTTTGAGAGGAAGGCACCTATGCTCTGATAGAATATTATGTTTTATAAATTTTGAAAATAGTTGAATTTTATCAAGAAAAATCAATGAAATTTAATCAAGCATTTCTCATTTTGTAAGGCTGTTAGGCTCATCAGTAAATAGCTTTAGGCTTATGTATTATACGAGTACTAATTAACCCACGGTCAAGATAATTGAACAAATTTAGTTGAAAGGATTGAATTAAATTAAATTTCTACGCTGAAGAGGAATGAAGCTTAACTAGGATAATTCACATTAGGACTATGTACAAATATGGACTGGTACAAATATGTTGCTGGATGTTTAACATATGCTGCATTTGCTGCATTTCTGCTTATTATTTCCACTTCGTCGGGCCTCATTTTCTTGGTCGATTTTTCTTCGCAAAGTATCTGAAAAGCATAAGTAAGGCCTAAATTGTTTTAACAGACCGTTATCTTGTTCTCTTCAACTATATTTTCACATAATTTGTAATAAGGGATCGTCGAAAAAGTTTGCTTTTCGATTACCTGCTAACGGTTTTTTGCCAATTGCAACTAAACTTTCGTAAAGTTCCTTGATGGGATTCACATCCGCGCTCAGTCCATGTGTCCAGATTAGCATCATCCGAAAGCCATGCTCCTTGTAACTAGAGGGACCTGAAAATCGCTGCTTATTTTCCATAATGGATAAATTATAGATTTTTCCTTGCCATTATATTGATGTTCTATAGCTTTGATTTGATCGTCTGTGAACGCCCAATGATGGGCCAATCTTTTCCATTCTCCATGCCCCAAGTGTTTATATGCTAGTTTATATAAAATTTCCTTCAATCGTTCGTATTCCTTTGCTCTTCCTTCGTCTTTTGACGTTGACCTCCACCGTCTACTTAACTTGGGCTTCAGGCCTGAACCTTCTTTTTTATTATCTCCATTTCCTTCCTGAAAGCAGCATTATTAATAAAATATAAAATATGTATAGCGTATCCATAATGTAAAAGATTATTTGGTTCATTTTTGAGGCGGTCGAAAAAAGGTGGTATAAAATCTATCGCATTAATGTCACATCAATCAATAATAAAGGAATATTTTGTTTTGTTGTCCGGGTTTATCGTAAATATTGCCGTTTCGCCATAAAGAGGATCATGATTCATACATATTCGGGAAATGTTTTTTTTAGATGTAAGCAGCAAACCGGAATTAGGAAACTAGTATTCAGCGTTTAACTTAGTTCTCAGAACTGTTGAAAATGTGTCGTACCTTGTGCAATGTGCATCGAATGATTTTATTTCTGCAAAACAGTTTGGTGGTTTTTAGTGCTTTTCGATCTATCGGCATCTGAGGAGTTGGAAAGAGGTTCAGAAACAAAGAAATTTTACTGGGTATGTAACTGAAGCTGAATTTAAAATAATTTAAGGAAAACCTTACATTTACATCAGTAAATTCGATATCTGAAGCTGAGCTATTTTACAACCCACATTTTTCCGTGTCTGGCCAACTTGCTCCGACTTGTTTTTTTGATATTCAAATCAATGCGTTGATATGTCTTAATACAGATAATAAAGCAGATATCAAAAATTATAGGATATACAGGGTGCCCATTTTCTGAATCTTTGTATGAGTAACTTCTACTTTTAAAGATAGAGAAGCCGTTAAATGGGCAAAATTGGGCAAATTGGGAATTCGATTGCCTATTCATTACCGTTTTCAAAATTTAGGTACTCGACTTGGTTCCTGAAATATCCTGAAAAGACAAGAAATCAACACTTWTTTAATTATCACTTATTACGTAAACTGCTTAACTTAGAAAAAAAGTTAAAAYTGCCCTTAGTACAACTTGATTTACTAGATAAAAAATAAACTTATAGTTTTTTAAATGGTAATCATAGTTGGCTGTGGGCCTTTTAAAATCCTCATTTTTTCCTGAATTTAACGATTTAATTGTCTGTAGGTTTTTCTCCTTTTGTTGCCGTAAAACTTCAAAAGAAGATAAAAAATGTGTAGTAAAAAGAAGTAGATTATCACACAAAGCACAAAACAATAATGAATCGTTTAAATTAAATGTTCAAATTGACTTCCGTTTACGTCCAGGCATTTTTTGGCATCTTCACATTCAACTCGTGAGTTCTGTGAAGGTGCACTATCATGTTGAAAATATGCCAATTTTCGATACGATGCTAACGGAAAACTATTCAACATGTCTTCAAGTTCATTTGGTAAAAAGTGTAAATATCTTTCCATATTTAAATTGTGATTATAAAAGAATGGACCAATAATTTGCCCCACCAGACATTCACAAAAAAACACGTTGATGTCGCCTATTTTCAATTAGATGATGATTTTTATTAGCCCAGTAAACATGATTGTGTCTGTTAATTATTTAATGTTTGTTTTGTGCTTTGTGTGATAATATAGTTCTTGTTTCCATAGCCTACTACACATTTTTTTATCTTCTTTTGAAGTTTTACGGCAACAAAAGGAAAAACATACAAACAGTTATATCGTTAAATTCAGAAAAAAATACGGATTTTAAAAGGCCCACAGCCAACTATGATTACCATTAAAAAAACCTACGTTTATTTTTTATCTCGTAAATCAAGTTGACTATTGCTAGTTTATTGAATTCAACGTAAAAAGTTCTACCAAAGATAATTTTAACTTTTTTCTAATTTAAGCAGTTTACGAATTAAATGATAATTTAAAAAGTATTGATTTCTTGTCTTTTCAGGATATTTCAGGAACCAAGTCAGGTACATAAATTTTGAAAACGGTAATGAATAGGCAATCGAATTCTGTTCAATTTTGCCCATTTAACGGATTCTCTATCTTTAGAAATGTAGAAGTTACCCATACAAAGATTCAGAAAATGGCCACCCTGTATATATCTTTACAATAAACAAATTATTATTAAGGCTTTTCTCGCGGAAAAAATACGTCTTGGCTGAAGTCTGAAGAAACGCTCTCAACTTAAATAAATAGAATATAACACAACTAAAAATTTTTTTTTTGTTTCGTTTAATCATTTCAAAAAGAACTATCGTATGTCTTAAATTTGAAGAATTAAACAAAATACCAAAAGTATACGACGACGGTACGTCGACTCAAATAAAGAGAGCGAAATTGTATGACATGTTTAATTAAATTTTTTTTAATTTTGGAATTTCAATAAATACCTTTGTTACACAACTTTTAATGGCAGTAGTTTGAAGAAGTGTTTTTCGAAGCATGCTTATTGTAAACATCAGTACGTGATTTAAAAAATAAAATGGGAATAGAAGTGCTGGTTTCAACTCTTTCAACTTTTTTCTGGACTTTCAATTGTGAAATTTTCAGCTGATATTCACTTATGCAAAAGTTACCGGCTCAATTTAGAACAGCGCGGCATGAGATAGATGGAATCTCAAGATTAAACTACATGCAAATTATACTCTCTGGTAATACTTAATGCGAAAATGAGATTTTCATTAAATCACATTTAAAGTTACATTTATTTTATAATCGTTCGAATGAAATATAATCGGTTGTATTACGTTTTCAGTTATACGTTTAAATGCCAGAAAATTCTCTCATATTGGAGCGTTTTGCAAACACCAAATACGATTTTAAATATTCGGGTCTCCAGCGATTGAGTTATGAAAAATAACTGCGTATTAATCCGTTTATTTCCCAATTGAATCAAACTGAAATTAATTTTTGGTTTGTTGAATAGATCGATTTTTGCTATTAGTATTGAAAATATTTGAATTTACAAAGCATGTGGGTGGAATTCATTTTCAAGTTTCCATCAGCATTAACAGATTTATCATGGTGCACTGTTGTATAATCAGTATTATTTGATTTACTGTTGCACTTTGATTTTTATTTTGTTTAAGATCTCATAATTTCACAAATATTTGAAGATTGCTTGGATACATCGTATTGTTAAATAATGATAGACTAAAGATATTTTGCATAGTTTGCACCAAGTTGTTAAAATATTTGATGTTTCAATATAAAATTGGTTAGAAATTAGTCCTCAAACGTTTATCTACGCTAAAAAAGTTGTGGGTCGCTTTGATAAGTAGCCACCTAAAATATCAATGTACTGTTTGGTGTGAAGAATTATTAACACCAAATTTTTAAACTAGCTCTTCATACCCTTTTTGTATGAAGCAAAAACTGACTCTTAGAAGCAACCGTTACGAAGATATTTTTTTAATGTAGCCAGTATTTTAGGAATATCGGCACTTACTTTTAAAAATATCTCATTTGGCAATTTCAGTAGGTATATTTTTTCACAAGAAAAACCATTATACACTGCAAGCTGTTAAAATAGCAGTCTCTTGTTTAAAGCGCTACTAAAGACCTAAAAAAAACATTTTCCGCATGGCTTTCATTTCTCGCTTGCGCCATCGAAAACAATCACGAAAACCCGGTCATGAGAAACGTGTTGATCTTGAATTTGTTTACACAATTACTTAAATTTTCATCGCTCTTAGTGAAATGCAATTTTTACATACTGGCGTGCCCAGTAAGCACATGATCAAAAGGGCACTGCGACATTATTTGGCTCAAAAGAAGGCAATTTGAGTTGATTTTATTATTAAAAAGTTTGTTTAGGATAAGCGTAATGGAAATTTGACCACTAAAAGCATAGAGTTAGACATGTTTTTTTAATTGGAATAATAAAATTGTTTTGTTCTCTTCCCGGCCACACATTACGACTTTGATGGCTTAAACCCATTTATGAACGATAAAGGCACACGATAATGTGATTTTATAAACTGGAACGTGCACTTTGGCCGAGTATACAGTTTTCGGCGAGCGCGTTTAGGATAACTGGATGAGTTGAAAAGGCTCGAGTTTATCTTATTTTAATCCACTATATCCTAGAAACCGCGATTTAATGGCATACAGTTTACCCCAATTTTGCAACATTAATTACATTGTGCATAGAAAATCTGACTATAAGTAATAACTTACGGTTCCTGGGTAATCCAGCCTGGCAGTTTTAATTATCATATCCACAATGGCGGTAAAACTGCCCCTTGCGGCAATATACAGAGGGGTTCTGCCGCCTTGTTCCCTCTGTTCAATATCCGCCCCCGCAGCTAGAAGCAGCTTACATATTTCTGTATGACCCATTTCTGCAGCTATATGAATCGGGGTTTGTAATCTCTGAAATTATTAAATAATGCGTTATGATGGCGTTGCAATCGTTTTTGCACCAAACTGCCGAAAAACAATGTTGATGGAGATTGGAAAAACCGAATTCTACCTTGTTGGATTATAGAAATTAAATACTCGTAGTATCTGATATTACTACCTAGAGCGAGAAATGCCCCATTAATTACTGAAGAGGTTTAATGTGCTAGGTGTATATTGGTTCTTTTAGCCTAAGAATATCAAATGGATTCTTTGCTGTTTTATGTCGTTGATGATCCAAGTTAATAATGGTAGAAGATTGATAAACATTGCTTTACACGTGCGCGCCATGTAAAGTATAACTTTTTAACCATACCAAGAAATATGAAATATACTAGGTAGTGTTAGACTGATTTTTCCTGATTTTTAATTTTGGAGGGCCAAACCTTTACGGTACAACGTTTGAATACGAAGAACTTCATATTTTTGACATTCAGTCTATATTGTACAAGGTAAGCTCATGATCAAAAGGGTACTGCGATATTCTTTGGACCAAAAGAAGACCATCTGACCTAACTTTTATTAACAAGAAATGTCTCGCTCCTCTGCTATTGATGGTCAAAGTTCTTCAAAAAAAT